TTTTTTCCCCTCCTCCCTCTTTTCCTTCCTTCTTTTCTGATTTTTCCTTTCCCTCCCTCCCCTTCCTTCCTCTCCTTTTCCCTCCCACCTCCCCTTTTCCCTTCTTTCCTTCCTTCTTTTCTGCTTTTTCCTTTCCCTCTCTCCCCTTCCTCTTTTCCTTCCTTCTTTTTCCTTTTCCTTCCTTCCCTCCCACCTCCCTTTTTTCCCCTCCTCCCTCTTTTCCTTCCTTCTTTTCTGATTTTTCCTTTCCCTCCCTCCCCTTCCTTTCTCTTTTCCTTCCTTCCTCTCCTTTTCCCTCCCACCTCCCCTTTTCCCTTCTTTCCTTCCTTCTTTTCTGCTTTTTCCTTTCCCTCTCTCCCCTTCCTCTTTTCCTTCCTTCTTTTTCCTTTTCCTTCCTTCCCTCCCACCTCCCTTTTTTCCCCTCCTCCCTCCTCTTTTCCTTCCTTCTTTTCTGATTTTTCCTTTCCCTCCCTCCCCTTCCTTTCTCTTTTCCTTCCTTCCTCTCCTTTTCCCTCCCACCTCCCCCTTTTTCCCTTCTTTCCTGCCCTTCTTTCCTTCCTTTCCATTTTTCCTTTCCCTCCTTCCTTCTTCCTCCCTCTCCTTCCTCTTTTCCTTTTCCTTCCTTCCTCTCCTTTTTCCTTTTCCGTCCCGCCTCCCCCTCTTTTTCCCTTCCTTCCTTTCCCTCCTTCCCTCTTTTCCTTTTCTTCCTTCCCTCCCCTTGATTTAAAAACAAAAAACCAGCCCTTTGTCAGGTTCTCCATAGCCTCCCGCTTTCTGATCAAAGACTTTGTCCCGAGATACGGCAAGCGGTTTGGACTCACCAGCGTCATCCCCATATAGGCCATGCCGGTGTGAGTCAACTGGTTATTCCACAGCACGAGGGTGACCAGGCCTTTCCGCTGCTCTTTCAGCCCTTCACAGATATAGGCCAATCCTGGGAAGCGGAAGAGAAACAGTTAACAAAAAGGGAAGTTTTCTTCATTTGTTTTTAAAAGAAAAAACACATGGTAACACAGAAGTTCGGCATGTTCTGTATTTCGCTTAAGGGGAATAAATACGCCCGTTTGTTCTTTCTGGAAACTTTGGATTAACTTCCTCTTGGGGGTTTCAGCTGTCCTGAGATTTCGGCATCTGCTTTCAATCATTTTATTTAGGTCCCGGGTAGGATTGTTTGAAAAGAGGAAACGCTGAAAAATGAGCTTCTCGGATTAAGAGGGTTTTTTTACTTAGCTTTTTTATTAGTTCCCCGAAGTAATGACACACTTTTAAGATCCGGCAAAAAAAAAAAAAAATCTTACGGTATTTAAAAAAACGATTATCAATTGACAGCCTTATTCTCCCAAATCTGAAGAATTTGTCTCCTTGGAAGCTGGACGGATTCAAAAGTAGAATGTTTTATGAATTGACTGCAATAAAAGGTATTTTATTCCTTTCCTTGCTTCCTCCCTCCCTCCCTGTCTCCCATTCCTTACTACCTCACTTTTTCTTCCTTCCTTTCCATCCTCCCTCCCTTTCTGTCCTTACTTCTTCCCTCCCTTCTTCCGTCTCACTTTCCTTACACCCTCTTTTTCTTCCTTCCTTCATTTTCACCCTCCTTCCCTCCCTCCCTTTCTTTCCTTCCTTCCTCCCTCCTTCTTTGCTCCCTCTTTTTCTTCCTTCCTTTCCACCCTCCCTCCCTTTCTGTCCTTACTTCCTCCCTCCCTTCTTCCGCCTCACTTTCCTCCCACC